ACAACAACAACAACAACAACAACAACAACAACAACAACAACAACAACAACAACAACAACAACAACAACAACAACAACAACAACAACAACAACAACTGAATGAATGAACAGGAATCATGTCCGAGTAATGGCCCTTATCGCCAGCACTCAAACAGCCCTCACTTCTCCCTCCTCAGTAGCAACGAGAACTATGGCAGAACATCCATGCTCATCACGGACGTTTGAAAAGGGCAACACAATCTCTACTATGCCTCTCCCTTCTCATTCTGCCATAGCCATGCTCTCGGAGAAAGTCCAAGACCAACTGGAACCAACACAGGGGCTTTCTTGATGCAGCACCAACCCAAAGAAGTGAAGATGAAGGTCAACCATAGCCGAGTCTCTCACCCCTCTCTCACTCTTCTCCATAGCCTGGCATGGGGCGCTTTATCCTCTAACTCCGTAGCCAAGGCCTACTCCCTCCTATTACTGCTACTATTACTCCTACAATTATTACTCTATAGCCAGGGAGGTCTTCTTCTCCACCCTCCAGCCCCACCACTCAGCAGGAGCTCTGCGTGCCTTCTTCACCGTCTTGGCGGAGCCACAGCATGACTGCCAGATAAGCTACCACCTTTACTCATTCTGCCCGGACGTATTCTCTTGCAGCTCGGCCTCACGGCTTCACTTAGGCTGCAGTACCTTTCCTCTCCAGGGTACTAGGCCTGCCGGAAATGGCAGGAACATCATTGCAGCCTCCTGCAAGTCTACCTCAGGGCCTGAATCTGACCTACCTGGTTATCTAGGTTTGGCCCCTGACGGCCTTTTGGAAGCTACCGGGTCCTTCTAGGCCTACTGCACTTACTGGAAAAACCCTATAGGGTACTACCCAAATTCCACTTGTGTCCTTGTCCATCCTGGCCTTTTCTAGTAATCCGTCCAGTCCCCAATTTCAGCCTTATCCCTGTGGTTTCCTTATTTCTAATCCACCCCTGTTCCCGGACACAGAGACCACAGGGCGGACACACAGCACAGTTAGTGCATCACATAGCAACATCACGCAGGCACTTAGACGCATGCAAATAATAACAAATGGACTGTGCGTTTGAAGTTTGAACCTCGCAATGGGGGCCATAATGCCGCCATATGGCTTGAACAGATGGAGGATAAGTCAATGGATTGACAGATGCTCAGGGGCGGGTGGTCCACTGGACTATGTGCCTACCTTCTTCCCCCGAATAGAACGTACGGTCATTCTCGCTGCATCTGGTCAGAAAGGTGAGCCAAATACGGCTCAAATGAGTGTACGTTGTATTCGGGGGAAGAAGGTAGGTCCTAGTTAGGAAATCTGAGGATCACAATGACACGGAAAGAATCAACTTGGCTCGGTAGGCAGAATTGGATCCCCAAAACTACCATTGTCACCCGAATACAACGTACGTCGTACGGTGATCATGGCTGTATCTAGACTCAAAGTTGCCCCGAAAACAGCGATAATCACCATACGTTGTACGCGGGGGAAGACGGTAGACATCGGCATAGATCAGTGGTGCCTGCCCCCCAGCCAGTGAGTTGGCACGTGCAGTGGTTCACTGACGGTAGGCCGTCAGCTCATCAATCTGTCAGTCGGCGAATCCGTCAGCCAGTACAGACTTTCAGTCCATCACTCCATCTATCTGTTGGTCCAGTCGGCCTTTCGAGAAGACATTTGTGATCCATCAGGAGCAGAACCTAGGCGGGAGGACAACTGCCAATGCTAAGAGAATAGGCAGTAGAAGAGGAGGGAGCAGAAGATAGAGGGGTTGCAACAGCAGAAAGCAGCAGAGGAAGCATTGGAGATCGCAGAGAGCGTTGAAAGGAAGCAATCCGAAACCGATAAGGAGAGGATCGAGAACGGAGAGGAGGAGCAATAGCCAGAGAAGGAGGATATTATAATGTAATGATTCTAATGAACACAGTACAAAAAAAAGGGGTCGAAGCACCCCCCCATAAGGAACGTAGTAGGAATAACATTTTTTTTTTCCCTTTTGGAAGTTTTGGGGAAAAAAAAACTCGTCGCAGCAATCTCTTTTCACAACTACCCTCTATGAGACAATGTATCTTTTCACAACTACCCTCTATGAGACAATGCAGACAGACAAACCTTTTTGTTTTTCCTTCTTTTCTTTTAATGCAGACAAACCTCATTCCATTCGCATGGTATGCAGAGAAGAATTGAACAGACATAGTACATAGTACATACCTGCTGCGAGAGCTTCGAAAGGATTCACTTCCGAGTGGTCGCGAGTGTTTTTTCCGACCTCTGCCCCTCTCATTTCCTTCTCGTGTTCCAATGACTCTGACTTGCAATTGATGTTGATGTCCACCTCCATAGCTTGACCTTGGGCGACCTCACTTTGATGGCGTTGCTGGCGAGTCTGTGCAGCTTTCAGGGATGGATCAGCCACAGCTTCACCGTTGGAAGCAGCAGATATGGTCACAACGTCAGCGTCGGAAACAGCCTGGGATGCAGGCGTGTGACCACACAGCTTTCCCTTGGCATTGGGAGAACGCTCTGCTGCCGGTTCCACGGCAGGCTCGGCCGCAGCTACAGTGACAAAAACTGCTTCCGAATTTGGCATTGTCTCGTTACCTTGCCCCCCTCTCCCCAAACCTCACCCTTGCCCCTGGCCACCTTTCCAACCCCTCCTAACGGCCCCACCTGCCACGTTATATAGGATATACTAGTACTGTATATGGTCCGCTCCCTCCTAACGCCCCCCCCTCCCACGTTACATAGGATATACTAATCATGTATATGATCCTAATATCCTAATCATGTATCTGATCCACTCCCTCCTAGCTCGTCCACCTGCCAGGTTATATAGGATATACGACTAGTGTAGCATTGTATATCGTCCACTCTTATAACATATTTGACTCTTTCAGACGTACTAAATGACACTGCATAAGTCACTTGTCTGTCTGCCATTTGACTCCTATAGCGAAGAAAACATGAAGAAGAATAGAAACCACATTTCGTATAGTCTCCAGTTGATAGACAAGGCGGCTGCCATGGTTCGTCCTCCCCTGCAGCAGAGCTATTGAATTCTTGGGCTATTCATTCCTTTGAAATCGCCCATCTGCCAGCTACCAACCAAGTCGGACCAACCATGAAAAACAGGGCAAAGAAATGAAAAGCCCAAGAATTCAATAGCTCTGCTGCAAGGGGTGATTGCTGCAGAGGTGAATAGCCCAAGAATTCAATACAGGGGTGAATAGCCAAGGAATTCAATAGCTCTGCTGCAAGGGGTGATTGCTGCAGGGGTGAATAGCCCAGGAATTCAATACAGGGGTGAATAGCCAAGGAATTCAATAGCTCTGCTGCAATTGGTGATTGCTGCAAGGGGTGATTGCTGCAGGGGTGAATAGCCAAGGAATTCGATAGCTCTGCTGCAATTGGTGATTGCTGCAAGGGGTGATTGCTGCAGGGGTGAATAGCCAAGGAATTCAATAGCTCTGCTGCAAGGGGTGATTGCTGCAGGGTTGAATAGCCCAAGAATTCAATACAGGGGTGAATAGCCAAGGAATTCAACATCTCTGCTACAGACCATTTGCTGGAGGCAGAACCTGTAGTAAGAGCCAAAGCTGTTCATGACTCTGACATCATCGAGGACTTGATACAGCTACGGATGGAGTACAGATACTGGCTACTCAGTGTACTCACCCAATCCACACTAACGGACTCCAAAGCTTCATCTTCGTATAGACGTTGCCTTGAACAGCACACACACACCAGGACTTCATACAGCTATGGTAGTGCAAATACTGGCTACTCACCCAATCCACACTGTGACTAACAGTTCGCTGCACTCTCATCACACTGCCTGTTTTACCCCAGATGCATCTTCTTCTGCCCCCGGACTCCAAACTTCCAGCTTTGCAGAGACGTGTGCCTGGGACAACACACACACGCCAGAGACGGCCAAGGCGGAGCGGAGGGGAGAGGAGGAAAAAGAAAAAAGAGAGGGTGAAAAACGGGTGGCAGAAACCAAGCATCCATACTCACAAGAGTCACAACCATGAAGCCAACCATGATCACAATGAATATCCTTGCTCATCATCATCATCATCATCATCATCATCATCATCATCATCACAAGTCAACTGTCTGTTGACGTCATCCAAATCAGAGAGGTGCGATGAGCAAAGGTTGTTGGTAGGTAGCGTCCCTTAGGAAGGAAAGCTAAAGAGAAAATCCAAAACTGGCCTGAACTAAGCGGGAAAAAAAAAAGAAGAAAAAGCGGAAAGGGTGTGCCCTTGGGGACATCCGTTAAACTGGGAACGCTATAGAGAAGATTAATTAGCATGGCCCCTGTGCAAGGATGACACCCAGAAATCTAGAAATCTCCCCTTTAATAATGATGGTAAGTTTTGTCGATGTAAAGCCAGACCGATACCCGGAGCCAACACAACGGAATTGAACCGGTGACCTTGGCCATAACAGCCAGATCCCTTTACCACTGCAACTGTGGCCCAGTGTTCGAAACCAAAGCCATACCCGTCTTGAAAATTTCAGCCCACGCCAGCACGGTTGCAGCAAGGACTTACACGTCAGCACTTGACATCCAAGCGATACTCTGCAAGTGTCGGCAACCAGCCTCCACGCAGACACCACTGCCCAGGTAACACCTCCCCTCGTAGGTTACTGCCGTCGTACACTGACAGTAAGTTTTGTCGAGGTAACCTCCCCTTGAAGGCAAAATGTCGTCTGGTTTGCTTAGGAGACGTAATATATTTCAAAACCTTTGTGACAAAGCACAGTGAATGCATAAATCAACTGACCATACCTTAAACCACCGGTACTTTCGATCCACTTTTTCCCGGGGCTCAAAACGCCCTGTGCGCTGAAAAAAACAACCAGTGCGGGTCGCCCGTCGGCTGGCCCCCCCGGCCATTTTTCTCCACCGGGCTGCAGCCCACCCCTGAAAGTTGCAGCATGCATGGAGCATGCAGCCCTGTCGGAGAAAAATGGCTGGGCTGGGAAACATACTGGTGGTTTAAACCATCAGTACACTCGGGCCTGGCAGCCTTCCACTGCGCGCCAAGCTTTTCGGAACGCCAGCGCTGCACTTTTTTTCCTTTTCGGCTGGCTCCTTTTTGGCGGGCACCACCAGCCACTGTGATCCGGTAGCCCCCAGACACTGAAATTTCCGTAGGCCATGGAAGATTTCTCCACAAGGCTGGGGCCATGTACTGGCGGTTCAAGCCACAAAACTCTAACCACAGTAGCCAAAAGCCCACTTGCGGGCATGAGTGGCGAAATATTATCGATTTATGGGTGTCATCCTCGTGCAGGGCCCATGCTAATTAATCTTCGCTGTATCATTCCAATTTGAACGGATGTCCCAAAAGGACAAGTGGCCAATTATTCGCTCAAAGCCTCGAACACACAATTTTCGGGCAATCGGGGCAGAAGAGCGAAGGCAATTCACTCCTCACTCCTGGGGCGAGGTCCTACTAGCAAAGAGGCTTGCATTTAGTTCCTGAATCTGGATATGTTTTCAGCAGACATGCAGAAAGCAGTTCAATGTCAATTTTCTGCACCTTTGCACAAACACGTCCAGATTCAGGCATTCAATCCAATCCTCTTTGCTAGTGGGCCCTCACCCCTGATTGAATTTTGAAGAAATGTCCCAGGCAAGGATTATCCAGGGGTATGATTCTTTTTTTGTTCCAAAAAAAGGTGTATCCCCTAACGTTATTGTATATCCATCTGATTCATGCATCAGGATTTGAACTCGTGATCTGCTTATTAAGAGTCCATATGTGTACCATTCATCCACATGGGCTGCGTACAGGGATGATTCTTATGCATGGGGAAATTCGAGGTGTTTACCAACTTTTGGGAGGTTTTTCATCATTCTGTAATATATCATCAATCAGAGCTGCGCGGTAAACCCGGTAAACTGTAGGCAGAGAGGGAGAAGAGGACAACAAACAAAGGGCTGTGACAAACTGTTTCGTCGGAGTTTCACCGACTCATCAGGATATACCTATCCTATCCCTTAAGCAGCATTGGCCACGGTGGTAGGTCGATGGTCCGCTTCATGCCGGAATCGGGTTGAAGTTTTGGTGAGGGCCGGCGGATGAAGGCGATCGAGGGCGGTGGAGTGTGCAGAGGGGCACGCGTACCGAATTGTTCACAGCGTGCCATTAAACGAGACAGCGCCTCCACGGGCCGGGGCACACGGCGAGCATTGATGCGGACGGATATCTCCAAGCACCCGCCATTGGATAGTAAGAAAGTGTTGTTTTGTTGTGTTTGTTTGTTGGTTTATCGTCAATTTGCCTTTTTTTATGTCGTTGTCTGGATTTTATTCCTGTTTTTCTATCTCTTTTTATTTCTTTTTTTTCTGTGGGTCATGGTGAGTAGTGGAGCCAGGCCGTTTTGATTTGGGCCAAGCTTGAAAAAAAAACAAACAAAAAAAGACAAAACAAAAATGGTGCGTATCTTCCAATTCTCTAGTGGAAGATTCAGGCCACCGCCACACCACTCTCGAAATGTGCAAAAGGAGGATGAACTTCCCGCTAGAACACGGCGAGATGCACGTGCCACATTTCTGTCTTTTTCACATTTCCCACGGGGTATCTTGCCTGTTCTGGGGGAAGATCCATTCTCATTTTTCAGATTTGGTGACCAGTGGAAGCGAGGTGCAAAGGCCAGACTTTCGACCTCGCTCCCACTTCTCACGAAATGTGCAAAATGAGAATGAATCTTCGGCTAGAACATGGCAAGATACCCCGCGGGCCTCAGTGGGCTGCATGTCTTTAGTTTATGTGACGAACCGAGAGTCGCTTTGCCGGAGGTCCCTCTCCCTCTCTCTCTCTCTCTCTCTCTCTCTCTCTCTCTCTCTCTCTCTCTCTCTCTCTCTCTCTCTCTCTCTCTCTCTCTCTCTCTCTGATGAGTCAGTGAAACTCCGACGAAACAGTTTGTCACAGCCCCTCATTTGTTGTCCTCTTCTCCCTCTCTGCCTACGGTTTACCGCGCAGTTCTGTCTGATGATATATATACATCGTCAAACAGAGCTGCCTACGGTTTACCCGGCAGTTCTGTTTGACGATATATATATATATTGTCACATAACTACGAACTAAAAGAGCGCACTTTGCGGAACAAAGAATAAAAGCAAAAAACGGGCACAGTGATAACATGCAAAAAGAAAAAGAAAAAGAAAAAGAAAAAACAAGGGCAGATTGAAACCATTAAATTTCTCATTCTTCTTTGAACT